AATATTATAAACATATATTAGGAAATAATGCAATCCACTTTCCAATGAAATCTTGCCTTTTTAAAAAAACTCAAAGGTGGGGCTGGCTAGAGGGCTCAGTGGATAAAGGTGCTTGCAGCTAAACTCGAGGATCTGAGCTCAATTGAAAGGACCCACTTAGAGGAAGGAGAGAGGTGCCTGCCACACTGTCAAGTGATTCCATATGTAGGTGGTGGCACATGCACCTTTACAAAATAAACAAACGAATATCATTTTTAAAAACAAACAAATCCTTCAAGAAACTCAAAAGTGGTATTTTCCCCAGGGCTAGCTAGGAAAAACTCAGAATCCTGAACAACGGTGCCATGGAACTATTATTAGCAATGAAGCAGTAAAACACATCTTTCAGGCTGGATCAGTGGCTCAGTGGCTAAGAGCATTTGCTGCTCCTGGAGAGGACCCAGGTTCAGTTCTTTGTCACCAGCACTGGGAGGCTCATCTGTGATCCAGTTCTAGGGAAGTCTGCCGATCCCCTCTGGCCTCCGTTGGCCCAATGGCACTAGCACACTTATACATACATGCATACATACATACACACACACACAAATGTAAAAATAGAAATGCTTTTGAAACTTAACAGACAACTGCCAGGATGCAAACTGTCATTAATTACAGCCTAACTGCTATCCATCACACGCCAATGAGTTCTGGGAAGTTCTGACCAGGCAACGCATCTCGCCGCAGAGCCTCAGTGTGTTTCTCTCCCCCTCCCCGCTTGCTCCTAGCATCTGCTGCCTCTCTAACATGGCTGTCCCTGCTGTGGCTGCACAGATGACTGCCTTTGGATGGCATTTAACATAAACTACACCAAACGCCCCTATAATTTCATTTTGGACTGAATTCATTAACTTCACAGTAGGTGGCTGAGGTACCTAAAAGACTGGATATCGCCACCTACCTGCCTACCTACCACAGGTTGTCTCCAAGCCAAGACAGCTCCGATTCACTTTTAACAAACAGTACCAGGTGAGAGATATTTTATCCGAAAGGGCAGAGGCAGGTATTGGTAAGGAATGGGCGGAGTTTTCTGCATGCAGCCGTATCTGTCTGAAAGGAGCAGTGTCTGGAGGGGTATAGTTAAGATGTCGTGAAGTCAGCAAGCGCTGCCGTGCTTGGTGTTTTTTGAGAGGTTTTAGCTCGAGAGGAGTGTATTTACATTATATATAAAGTGTTCTTTCTCTCTGAAAGATGTTAAAATGAGAAAATTACTATTTTTTTGCAGCAATTAAAAATGATACCACCGCAAATGCTGTTGTAATTTATACCCTAGACCTTGAGATGTAGATGCAATTGCCCAAGACGTTAGCTCCCCCATCATCAGAAGTACCATAATTTAAAATATCTATTTGCTATGAAGTGTCTCCAATTACAGTTTTATCAAGATGTGAAGTGAACTGGAAGGACATGTAAGGACCAGCTCTCCTAAAGCAGTGGCACCTTTCACGTCACGTGGTACATCCCTCCGTCGCTGGTCTGTCTAGTTCAGTAAATGAGAAAGTCCTTCTGAAAAAAAAATTCTTCGGCAGTTCTTAAGCCAGCATCTTCAGATAGGTTTAGGTTGTGAGGGAGAGAGAGAAGAGGGGGAGGGAAGGTGGGAAGAGTTAGGAGAGGAGGAAGAAAGAAAACAATGACTCGGTCCTAACTTCTGTTACGCGGGGTGGGGCGCAGGTGAACTAGCATCTAAGGAGCAGTGACACAGAGCTGAACCTCCAGAAACGGTTCGGGGCTGGGGAGGGCGTCACTTACGGGGCTCCAGGCAGGAGGCTGATTTCAGACCTGGTTCACAGCTCCCCCTCCCTCCGAGGACATGACTCCTCTAGGATCTCCAGGAACGTCTCTCTCTCTCTCCTGTGCAACCCAAACTCTTCCGGTTGCAGCTTGTACAAGAAATTGGAAGGTGAGGCGTATATTGAAGTCCTGGCTTGTAATAAAGGAACACAGAAGGGCACTGGGGGATGGGGCGGGGGCACTTGGGTGCCAGTGACCAGAAGTAATTTTGCCAGCAGCATCTCTGAACAAAAAAAGCAAACAAACCAATAGAGAGGCGGTACCCGTAGTTCATAGACATTGCTGGAGAGAGCAGCTTGGACTTGAAAAGAGCATTCTGAACAATACTATAACTTAAGCGTTTGATTTACTGAAATGGCCAATCACCACCGAAACTTTGGGGAACCTTTCAGTTAAACAAAAACAAGAACAAAACAAAACCCACATCAATTTACTGGCTTCCATGGGGGTAGGAGTCTTTACCCAGCATGCTACCTTCACCAAGGGGGCTGTCTGCTCTGGTGTCACCGACCCCAGAGAGAGACTTGATGAGTTGCTCTTCCTGGGTGTCCTGGTCTAGTAATAGTGTATTTATTTGTATCTGGCAGTCACAGCACAGTATAGAGAAAAACACAAAACAATACAACAGCAAAAAAAAAAAATAGACCAAGAAAATATCCCCCTCCACTACTTAAAAATGATGAAAGTTTCCATGAATGCTTCTGTTGTCCAGCGTTCATTGCACGCTGATGGAGTTCTGGTCCTGCTCTAGCTGAGGTTTACTTCCTACAGCCTGATGGTGCATGGGGACTGTTATGGCTTGGGAGGTCCCTAGAGCCTCAGGACCGAGGCTGACAAGTTTTGCATGGAAACACTGATGGCATTTTAAAACTGTTTGCTGTTCTTGTTTACAAAGAGGGTTACTGAACATCCAATCTGAGGTTTCGAAGACACAGCATTCTGAGGATCCATTGGGATGGGATCGCCCCTTTGGTCTGAGGATTCAGCAGAGGTGGTCCATGGAGACAGAAAAAGAAAACTCTCAAGGAACTCAGACCATGAGGACTTGTTACTGGAACCAACTTGAAGAATCCAGTTTGTCTGGTCAACTGCCACTAGAAAAATGAAAAGTACGGCACCCGTGAAACACTCCTCTGGTCACGACAGAAGGGAGAGCCACAGTTCACACCCCCGGAACTCCTCCCCAGAAGACAGATACGCAGAACAAGCAAGGTCGCCCCAAATAGAGATTACTGTGATTACAGCTTGTCTGTGAGCGTTCAAGAAGAGGGTGTTCTTATGATGATAGCATAGAGTCAAAAGTAGGGACTAAAAAAAATGCAGAGAAAGAGATGCAGATTGGATTAGTCCCGGAAATCTTCAGCTCTTGGAAAAGGGAGCCCAGAGAAAGCGTTAACCCAGAGTTCTACTCAAGAAGACCTTCACAAGAAGAAGGATGAGAGGGGTTCGCTGCTCACCTCAAGAGGGGGAGCGTCTGTTCCTCCCGCAAAACTCAGGGTGATACTGGAGATCACAGGTGGAAACGGCCTAGCCTATCAGAGGATGAGCTGGGAGGCCCTGAAGGGATCAATCAATGGTCTCATGAACAAGATCAACATCTCCAATGTAAGTGTGATTATCCAAGACCAAGAGCTCCTTCAAGTAAACAGAGGCAGAGGACTGCTGTCCAGGTCGGTCCTGTAGGCGCCGAGTGCTTCTCCAGTCTTCACTCCTGTTTATGCAGCTTTGGTGGCCGTAATCAACTCAAAACTCTCAGATTGTGGGGAACCAATCCTCAAGAGACTAATTCTTAAGTTCTGGGAAGGATGCGAAGGAATGGTAAGCAACTTTGTCTGACCGCTTCAAAATTTGTGGCACATCTTATTAACCAAAATGTGGCCCATGAGGTTCTGAGCCTGGAGATGCTCACTTTGTTGCCAGGGAGACCAGGACATGAGAGTTCGGGTGAGCGGCGGCTTCTGCTCATCCTCCTTCTTGGGAGGGTCCTCCTGAGTAGAACTCTGGGTTACTACTTGTTTTGGGACTCCTTTTTACAGATGAGAATTTTTTTTTCCCAAATAAAAATAAAATAGTTGCTACTTTAAAAAACAAACAAAAAACCCAGAAAGTGATCATTAAAAGTGGATTTTTTCTTTTTGTCCATTTAGGATATTCATCCTCTTGCTATTTATCCCCCATTCAACTCATAATCCTGTTTAGCTCACTATGATTAGTTGCTATGGAAATTCCCTCCAATGGAAGTGATGCCAACGTGATTACTGAATATATCTTTTCATGAATAATATCAATAACAGACATCAAACCTTACTCAAAGAGGGAAATCTAATTAAAAGATTGAAAAAGGATTAATTCTGAAGATGACTACGGTCAACTTTTCTGATACATTTTAAATCTGTCATCTGCTTTTTAAAATAAGTACTAAAGAAAATTTAAGACGTGAGCTACTTGCCTCCCCGAATTCTGGAGGGCACAGTGGGGATCATCACCATACAGCCAGCGGAGCTGAGTGGGCCATTTCCTATCCGCTTCCCTCACTAACAAGTGCTCTGCCTCGCTGATGAGCGACAGAGTCAACAGGATTTCAGGGCTCGTCACGGAAATGACGCCGAGGAGCAGATTACAAATTCCCTTTAAAGACAAAGAATTTAATATTCTAAAATTTATCCCAGGAATTTAAAAGGTCAAGCCTGTAAACCACCAAGTGAAACAATAGAGAGGAGGCAGCGGACCGTCAGATGAGGATCCCAGAGAGCTCAAGGGGAAATTTTCCTGGGTGGATTCGGTAATTTGTGATTTGAATAAAACCTTTGAAACATTCCATTAAGTATTAAAATCCTCACAATGAGAATATGGCTTGTCTTTAGCACATTCTACATTACTAGACAATCTTTCTCCAAAAGAAACATCAGTGCTTTCTCCTGCCTACTGCTTCTTCACCGCCTGCTACTAACTAAGGAATAAATTAGCCCTCCCAACAATTAGGATACTGTCTAGAAACTGCGCCTTTGCTGGGGGTGGGGGGATCATTTATATTCTGGAAATGAGAAGTAAAAGAAGAAATTCAATTTTCTATTAAAAGGTGCCTTCTGTATCTAATAGCTTATTAATGGTTTATGGAAATTGCTATGGTCTTTACCTATACAATTTTATAACATTACACACATAATGCCTCTGACCCGAGCTTTACAGCTCGATTTAGACAGTAGAGACTGTCTATACTTGTGTTTGCAGCCATGATCGAGGGTCCAGAATGTCTCTGATGGATTTCTGCCTTGGAGCCGGCACTGGCTTGTCTTCTAAACTGGTTTTTGTGTCTGTGTGCTCACCATCAGCTGAACTGTTTTTCCTGGCAGGGGGAAGTTTGCGAGGGGCAGCCACTGGTTTCTGGAAGGAATGCATTTGTGACGACAGCCTGGGATCTGAAGGCGAGGCTGCAGAGATGCTGGCCTGGGTCCTGCTGTCCTTGGGTTGATCTGTGTCACCTTGTGTCTTTATGCTGAAGGGAGGCTGGTCAGTAGGAGGAAGTGGTGCTCGCCTCTTTTTCCTTTTCCCATCAGGGGCCGGGTGGCCTGCCGGGGACACCACTTTCTTCTGGATGACCATTTCGTGGTTGCCATCAAAGACTGCGGCCCACGGGGGTGGTGCGGATTCTTCATCCTGACCAATGAGGAACTGTCCGTTCGTCTCTCCAATTTTTTTCTGTATTATGTCAGTTAAACTTTCAAGTTTCACAGGTGAATCGATGCCTACAAGAATTTTAAGAAGAAACTTCATAGGGAAAAAAATCCAACAGTCACATGTACTTTATCCAAATAAGTTATTATTATCTTCCAAATCAGCATGCTGCTTACAAGGACTATCAAACGCTTGGGAGCATAAATAATAAAAACATGTAAAACTAACCTTGTGAAGAGGGCCCCCAAACAAGGCTGTCATGTACTGTACTATACACTAAATATATATACAACACCCATAGTATATGAGAAATACATAAGTTCCTACATACACAACACAGATGGACACATATAAGCACTTCTTAAATTCTTTAGCTTAAATATTTATTACATAGTAACTTTTCTGTATAACCCTGATTTTGCCCACTAGGAAGTTTGTTATATAAAGAGGGGTGGAGGTGATGAGTCATCAGTTTTATCTGTAGACCTCTGAAGTCTCTGCTCACGGTCAGAGACAAAGACAAAGCAAAACGTGACGTCCCCCAAACCAAAGCCCCAGGGCAAATTGGAAACCCTCACATTATTTTGGTGATAAGAATGCTGGGTAAAATTTTCCTTGGGAAAAATAAAGAAACTGAGATAAATGTCTGCTGATTAAATCTGTGATGTGATATTTTAAAGTCACCACTTGGAACCTAAGATCGCAAATACACACACACACACACACACACACACACACACACACGCACACACACATGCACACACACACACCCTTGCAAGGGCATTAGCAGTGGGATAAACGGACACGACAGTCCAGATAAGCATGCAGCAATCACCCCGTAGGCCACCCTACAGGATCAAACACCAATTCAAAGTGTTGGAAGTGAAATAGAAAAATTTAAGACAGACAAACTTCTTAAGAACTAGATCTAAATAGTTGTTTTTGATCGGGAATGAACACTTCCACCCATTAATATGTCCTCATCAGTAATACAAACAGTGAACAAAGAACAAACCCGGAAAACGACTGAGCGTGACCACATCTTAGATCTGTTTGTTCACATTTTCTGAACCTCATAAAGCTAAGTACTTCATTCTTTTAAGCCTGAAGTTTTCTGCTTGATTGTGAGCATTTGAACTATGAAAAATATGAGTTCATTAATTTTGTATTAATTCATCTATTAAACATGAGCTCCTCCGTCTACAATCATAGTCTTTTTTTTATTATTCAATTTGATTGTGCCCTGAAAATTTTAGCATTTTAATGTCAACAGAATAAGCGGCTGGTGTGTGGACAATGCTGGTTCTGTCGCCCTGCGGCTCAGAAGAGGCAAGCCCTACTTACTCATATCGTGGTACACGGAGGTCGCCTCCTTTGTCAGGAACAAAGGTGGTTTCCGTGGCGACATAATCTCAATTTTCATAAGTTCTTCACAACAATGCTTCCATTGGCCTAAGAGAAAGAAAGAACTAGGCTAGTTTGAAATCTAAACGTGAAGCCATGTATTTCATTTTCCGCCAATATCGTCAGCACAGTGTGTGCGTGCGTGCGTGTGTGTGTGTGTGTGTGTGTGTGTGTGTGTGTGTGTAGGCGTGCGCGGTGTTGGAAATGTATCAATGAAGTCTAGCTTTCAAGAAGCTTGCATATAAACCTGGTACAATCCAGTTTCCAAAGTTGATTCTTCATGAGTGATTCCTTAAGAAAAACAGTTCTGGGGAGAGAGTAAGAGTCCCAAGGCCGTCAGCTAGTGCAACACCACGCACAAGCATCAGCAACCACATTAAACATCGTATTCACTGTCAAAGTGCACACAACTTCCGCTCTGTGTGTTGGATGAAAACATCCAGGAGTCAAGACATTTGAAAGACAAACCCCATTGCAATCCAGGAGTCAGACGGAAAAAGCAATACAGAATTCAAGTCCTCATACAGCTTTAATTTGGAAATTTTAGTTAAGAAGCAAGAATTATTTAATAGCTCAACTATTAAGTTAAAATACCAAAGTGTGGGCATTATCAATGTTTATTTTCATTGCTTCGCTATTTAAAACCTTAAGGTTTTCAGACTTTCTTCTCTGTGGGGAAAAAAAAAAGATTGATATTTTCTGACTTGCATTCTTGCATACCACGTGAGCATCCACTGACGTCACAGAAGTCACGGGGCTCACAACCCCGTATCTCACATCACTAGAAAGGCAGGGAAGACACACTGTATGCCTTCTACGGGTGACTTTTATTTCTTCCTTTTTCAAATAGTCTCAACATGGATATTCAATCCGTCCAACATGACAGTTTTCCATGGCTGAAAATGTTAATGACATTTCAGGTTTACTTAATTACATGGCACATTGTGATAAACACCTACATTTTGAATCCATTACCATAACTAGTTAAGACACATCGAAAGCCTTCGGGGGGGGGGGGGGTGTTACTATGATGCCGATTACCACACAGCAAACCAACAGGAAACAGACCCCCCCACACACACACAGGACAGGGCTGCAAAGGTTCCTCCCCAGGGTCGCAATCCAGAAGCTGGAGCTGAACTCTTACACACTTCCTTCCTTTCTAGATAAATATATAAGACTAATTTTTTTCTTTCTTGTGGCAGTGAAAGAAACATCGTATTTAATGAAAAATAATGATTCATTTGAAATGGACCAGCATTTCTCTTTCCACGTTCTTAGATGCACCATGATTTCTGCACAGGGAGCTGAAGATGAAGTGGTTCATAGCTATACAAGAAACAGCACTAGCCACGCTGAAGATGGGCACACAGCCCTGTCCCACCCCACGTGCTCCTGATGTCAGAGGTGGTTTCACACCGGAAGCATTCTGCCATGACTAAGTCTGTACGTAAAAACACATGATAGCCGCTGTGTTAACACGGGGTAAATATCAGGCAGGATGCACTGTGTTCACATAACCTGCTCTAGAGAGAAGGGGGTTTCCCACAATGCTATGTTACCAATCACACATATTCAATGTGTGTGTAAGCACACATGTGTATGTAAGCATGTGCATGCCGTGGCCTCTGTGGGGGTCAGGGAGACAGCCTGGAGGAGTTGGTTCTGTCCTACCACGGGGATCCTAGGAATGGAACTGCGGTTGTCAGGCCGGATGGTGAGTGTCACTACCTGCTGGCCCCCTGGCTGTCTCCATCACACTACTCATGGTCTCTAGTACAACGATCTATTGTGCTGAGCTGTTCCTATAACTCAGTATTTATAGTAAATGTTTGGGGAAAAAAAACCCTGTCTGTTTAAACATTCTCTCTTTGGTCTACCATTTCTAGCTACTGACTATGTAGAACAAGGGTCATGCCTCTTTTTTAAACTCTCGAAATACTAAAACAGCAATTCTATCCCCTTTGCCCCTCACCTTCATACCATGGCTAGTCCGGCTAAGCACATCGACATCCATCACCGCTTCTTCATGAATCCTGATTAGCTCGGTCTTAGTTTTCCACTCTTAAATTAGGCTAAAGAACTGAAATTTTACTCAGAATATACGCCGTTACCGAAGTCATGCATGCACACACGGTCTGCAGTGACTTCAGAGGAAGAAACTCAGGACAGCCGCAAACCCGGAGGAGAGCTTAGGCCTTTACGACGTGCCCTCAGGATGGTGCTTAAGGAAGACGCCTTGAAGGGCTCCCCCAATTCAATGCGGCAACCACAGGCTTCTCTGGGTCTCACTTTTCTAATCATGAGAGTAAAGCCAAGCAACTTACCTCCTGAGGACCTCGAGAGAAGCATGCAGGGCCCTGGAGCCCCCGAGCTATATTCACACTCATGGCCTGTTTGTCTCCTTCCCAACCTACCCCCCCCCCCCCCCGCACCTGCACAGCAGAGCAGGCCTGGGAACTGCTAGACGACAGCAGGTGCCCCCTCTTTATAGCCGTCCAGAAATCACTCTATGGCACAGATCTGTAGCATTCTGTAGACGTGGAAGACTACCTGACTCCAACAGGAGGCTTACATGGATCAGACGCAGCCACAGTCAACAGACTCCATTTTCAAAGTAAGATCACAGATAACATGCAGGCTGCTTGGTTTATCATTAAGACCAAGAATCTCCCTGTGAGCAAGACTCCCATGAACAGGGAGTAAACCCCGAGACTCTCCCGTACTTTAGGCACCGCACTGAACTGTGCTACTGAGATGGAAAAGGACCTTCATGGGGCTAAAACTCGTCTCTGGATGAAGCAAGAAACGCCATCAAGAAAGATCTGCAGTTAGCCGGTGACTAAAAATGATACTCTTTTGAACATTATGATCTCAGGATGGATGATCGTTATCTGAAAAAGGTTTGTGGTACATGACCAAGGTTTGCGGGAGGAAAACATCCCTGGCACAAAAACTCATTTTAATATCTGGACCACTATTGTCCAGCCCCCCAAGCCTCGTGAACACACTACTAGAAAACATGAATATCTGCTTACTGAGATCAAAGAAATGCTGCCGGAAGGCGCCCATCCATTCCTGAAGGTCTTCTAGGCTGTCCGCGGCAAAGACGTGAGTCATGGCTCGCCCAGCCACAGTGTTGACTATAGAGAAGTGATAGACTTTCCTTGGATCCTTCTCTATGGCCTGAATTTTGGTTTCCTAAAAATTAAGATAAAATTGGTGGTTTATCAGAGAATAGTTCTGAGATGGTCAAATATTTTATTGCTTAGGCACCACATTTATGCAAATTGTATAATATTACGGCTGCCGGTTTGAAATTTAAAATATGTCATTTCAAGAATTTTCAGGGTTCAAGCTCAAACTAGAATGTTTCTTAAAGACATTTTTTATTAAAAGAGCTTTGGATATGCTGTACACATATGGTATGTTCTAAATTACATGTTCTTAGAACATAACTTCCACTAGGATCTCAGCTTCCTGCCTTTAATATATATCTTGAAATAACTGTAAAGCAAGTGTAACATGCCATGGCTTTAATGTGGATTATATATCAATTACATTTCCAGCAGTCATAAAATTCAGCCAGTCAAGTCTGTTTCTTCCTTATTCTGATAGTCATACATATTATAGTGTTATTTGTCAAAGTAGCGAAAATGTAACAGTTTACAAGACAACAACAGGTTTTCTTCATGAACATGCATTTCATACATGGCGCTCCTTGTTAATGCTGACAGCTCAAGGCCCATGAGGGTTTTTAGACATCCCAATATTCAAGTTATTCCTTCAATGTCGAATACAACATTCTACCGTAAGGGCAATGGTCTCATTCCTGCTGGGAAACTCAATTGTTTTTCTGAGTGGTATCAGGTAGGATGTTGCCATGACATTCACGGTGTTAGAGGCCAGGCCCCAGGTTCCAATCGGGCAAGTAGTAACAGCAACCCTGTGCAGTTTAGATGGAAGAATATTGGGGGAATGAAATCTGGGACAAAAGATTCATTTTCCATCATCTGAGGACAGAACTGTCTAGTAGAGACATGACAGGAGCCACAGAGGCAATTCAGAAATTTTCACAAATGTATTTAAAAAGTAAAAATGGGTGAAGTTAGCTTTAGTGGCAAATTTGATAAAAAATATGTTGTTATTTTTTTACAATCCCAGTTAAGTAATCATTTATACAACATAAAATTTTTTTAAAATACTGCTTACTAAATGGAATCCTTTAAAGCCAAAGCCACCAACAACAATAGCCAATCATTCAATCCACCCAACCCCCCCAACCACCACCCAATCAACCATCAACAGCCAACAAAAAAAAATAACACAACAACAACCAACCATGCAATCAACTACCCAACCAACCAAACAACAACCAAGTGATCTCTTTGAAAATAAAATTTGGGGCTGGAGAGATGGCTCAGTGGTTAAGAGCATTGCATGCTCTTCCAAAGGTCCTGAGTTCAATTCCCGGCAACCACATGGTGGCTCACATGTGGTCTGGTGCCCTCTTCTGGCCTGCAGACATACACACAGACAGAATATTGCATACATAATAAATAAATAAATAAATGTTTTAAAAAATAAAATAAAATTTGTTATCATCAGTAGAGGGTGACTGAAGCTCTAGAAGAATTTTCAGGATGCTTCTATCAGCCTAACTGAAGCCTGAATTCAAGTTGGGGAGAGGGGTAAAGAAATATTCTTGTTGCTGAGACTCTGACTTCCCCCAATCAATTTCACTTCAACATGTTTCTGATTACTCTTGTACAGAGATTAAATAGATTTCAACTTCTAAATACAGAAAATGCGATTCTTGGTATATAAGTGTTTTACTTTCCACAAGGTATTGTTTCTAATGAAGCCACTAAGCAGAGAACGATGAAATAGACCATTTATATCCTAAGAAAATTCAAGTTAACAATATACAGATAAATACTATGCCCTTCATTAACTCCAATAGCCATTAAACATTTCTATTGTTTTTAAATATCCCAAGGAAGGGCTTTTATTTGTTTTGAGACAGGATCTCACTACATAGACTTGGCCTGAACTCACTATGTAGACCAGGCTGGCTATGAACTTAGAGAATATTGGGGTAGGTCAAAGATTTTATTTGCTTTTTAACAAGTGAAAATAAAATGCCGAGTTGAGACTAAATTACATTTTATCATCCAGATTATCTGACTAATTGGAAATATTTATAATTAAAGATTGTGTGTCAAAGAAAGAAGGATTTGAACAAGTGAGGCCTGTCAAGTGTTAAAGTCCACTCAAGCTGCTTGTTGTACTGGAGACATCAAAGCAGGCTGAGCCCTGTCCTCCTCCAAAGATGAAATCATAAGAAAACAGCAGGGTAGATTTCAGAACTTATATTCTAAACACTGCAAGGACAGGCAGTCAATCACTCCTAGCAGGGTGATCATACCTTGGCTCTATGCCGTTTAGCAGCTCTGAATGCTTGGGACAGGGTTGAAGAATCAGAAGAGGATCGAGTCATTTACTAAAATTATGAAGCCTTCACTGATTTTGTGGGGAAAAAAAAAGATTGATTTCAGCTGTAACTTCAACGATAATCAGATCCAGAAGTTGGAAAAATACTAATTGAGTCTTTGGCTTTTGAAAAAAATGCTAATTCAGAATGTCAAAGAGTGATTAGGCCTTTGAAGGCAAGATCAGCACCAATAGATGAATGGACACAAAATAGTCAATATTGGGTCTCATACTTATGATACTTGGATAGGAGGAGTGATTTCTAAAAATTTTAATAAAAATCAAAAGGCTAGATGTTTGAACTGTGGTAAACCAAGTCATCTGAAAAGGGACTCTAGGCAAGGCATTTTCTAGGAACGTTTTTTCTAGAGCTAATCCAAAAAGAAAGCCCCAGGTTTCTGGTGTATGCGGGTGTGGCAAAGGCTGGCACTGGAGAGTAATGAATGAAGATCAACATGAGACAGGCAAGGTAACCCTTTGCCATCACAAAACACCTTAGGGGGCCTCTTGCAAGCTACTTGTCGAATTTGGTTCAATCACTCCCTGCCACCACCGGGGAAACTACTCCATAGAGTAATTAAAAGACTTAATGCCTGTTGTGAAAAACAATAAATGACAGAACAACTTCAGTAGCTTAAAAAAATTGAGGGGAGACCATAAAACCATAAAACAAGTATTTTGGCAACTTCTATAAACGATCAAAGACCAAGCTAAAAATACAAATAAATGGCACTGTGGTTGAAGGTTTACTAGACACAGGCATGGATTTAACAATAATTTCATGAAAATCTTGGCATCCAGATTGGCCTCTTCAAGAGGTAAATGATCAGGTTTTAGGGCTTGGAACGTTCTCTCAGGTAAAACAAAGTGCAAGACGGGTCAAGTGTATCGGGCCAGGAGGACAGACAGGAAAATTAAAACCATATGTGGCTGGCAGAGCAATGAGTTTATGGAGGTGTGATGATTTGTTGCAGCAATGGAAGACACAGATTAACATCCCCCTAATCTCAGAAACAAATGAGAAGCTAACACATGCTTCTGAGAAAGATACTAAAAGGTACTATCAGGAACAGTCACCGAGTGTTCTTTCAGAGGCACCAACAGCCCTACTTTTAAAAGGGTTAACTGTCAAACCCATGTGGGTGGAACAATGGCCTCTGACATCAGGAAATTTACAGACACTAGAACAAGCTGGTACAGGAGCAGCCAAATGATCAACTGAAGAATCGACCAGTCCCTTGGAATTCTCCGGTATATGTCACTAAAAAGAAATCTAGGAAATGGAGAATGTTAACAGATTTAAGAGCCGTAAATAAGGTGATTTGGCCAATGGGCTCCTTAGAGCCTGGAATTACTCTGCATTCTCTATTACCTATAGGATGGTCTATTAGAGTGATTGATTTAAAAAGACTGCTTTTTTTTTTCTTAAAAAACTAAACCTTTATAAGAATAGGAGAAAAACTTGCCTTCACAGTGCCTTCTTATATTTCCCAGTCTGTTTTTATCAGTAGAAAATTTTCCACAAGGGAAGTTAAACAGCCCTACCCTGTATTAATATTTTGTACAACAACCATTGGAAATAATTTGTAAACAGCTTCCTTAATCTATAATTTTCCATTATATGGATGACATCTTACTAAGTGATTCAGACTCAGATACCTTAGAAAACATGTTTGAAGAGGTAAAGAAAATTTTGCCTTGCTGGGGACTACGAATTGCTCCCGAAAAAAATATAAAAAGGATATTCTATTAACTACCTACGATATAAAAGAGATTACAAAAAAAATTCAACCATAGAAAGTACAAATCAGAAGAGATCAAGTACGAACTCTTAGTGATTTTCAAAAATTGCTGGGAGGTATTAACTGGCTACAGACCACAGTTGGACTGACAACTCAAAAACTAAGTAATTTATTTCAAATCTTACAAGGTCATAAGAACTTAAATAGTCCAAGAAAATTATCAATTGAGGTTGACAGACAATTGGCTTTGGTAGAAGAGAAAGTACAGGATGTACACACATGTGATTGCTTGGACCCAGGGTTTGATTGCATCCTGGTCATACTACCTTCTATGTATTCTTCTACAGGAATTTTTATGCAGGGACAAGATAATATCTTAAAATGGATATTTTTTTCTTACCACACAAACAGATTAAAACATGAAAGATCTATGTAGAAAAGGTTTCTGAATTGATTCTGAAGGAAAAATTGAGACTTTGTGAATTATCAGGAACAGAAATCGTGGTACCTTTCACTAATGCTGAATTTCCATCATTATGAGCAGAAAATGAATATTGGGAAAGAGCCTGAAGTAATTTCTTGGGAGAGATTAACAAATATCCTAAAAGAGATTTTATTTGATTAAAAAAAACTAATTGGATTCTTCTTCACATTGTACGAGGAATACCAATTTCTGGAGCCCCTACATTTTATACTAACGCAAATAAATCAGGAAAGGCAGGTTATAAGTCAGTAAAGTGGCTCAAAGCCCTCATGATTCTGCTCATATATTGGAGCTATATGCTATTCTCATTGTATTAGATTTTCCAGAACCTCTTAATATACTTTCAATATGCAGAAAGTTGTTTTACATATTGAAACCACTGAACATATTCCAGATGATTCAGAATTAATTTTGCTATTTATTCAATTACAAGAAATAATCAGACATAGAAACCATCCCTTGTGTATACCACATATCAGATCCCATACATGTGTCTACCAGGCCCTCTAGTACAAGGTAAAAACGAAACTGATCAGCTATTGGTAGGAAATGTACTGGAAGCCTCAGAATTTCCTAAGAAATACCATGTTAATAGCAAAGGCTTGAAGAAAGATATTGTTTTTTATTACTTGGCAATAAGCCAAGGAAGTTATAAGGACACGTCCTACTTGTTCTTTGAATAACAAGTTCCACTACCTGTGGGAAGTCATCCAAAGGGTGCTCAAAGAAATGAAATTTGGGAAATGGATGTGTTTACTTTGCAGAGTTTAGAAAACATGTCACACGATCTGTGGTAACTGGGCTTTCTAAAATTCCTGATAAATACAATAGTTAAAAGCATTTTTAAAAGAATTCAATATAATCTATCACACCACACCAACTAGAGTTATTGATTGGTTCAGCAGATACATTATTGAGACGACTGATGTATAGGAGGGTGCTAACCAGACAGTCATGACGACAGGAACTCAGTGCCCAGTACACAGGTGAGTGTCCCGTAAGCGCCTGGAACTCTAGCCCCAAAGGATCAGATGCCTTCCAACATCATGACTGCACACAAGCACAAACATGGGTACACAAGCTCAAAAGTGAGCACGCACGCGTGTACTCCCACACACATACACACTAAATAAAATCTAAAACCCACCATTTGTTTAGACTACATTTTATCTTCGTTTATGACTCCACATTCTATGGGACAAAACAAAAGGAAATCTTGGCAGAATTCCATTTTTTTTTTTTACCACACAGCTATTGAATGCAAACCAACTTAAACACATAATCATCTGCAGTGTATCTCTAGTCAAAATTACTTAATCTGAATGTAACAAACCAATTAGTCACGTACACCTCCCTCCCAAACATGGCCTGCACTAAGTAAAAAAAAAAAAAATGTCAGTGTCACAAAAGAAAAACAAAGGCAGGATAGAACATGATTAGATAAAGGACTTAGTGCCTAAGGGGCTTGGACCAAAGAAATAAATCAATGAAAATTAGATATGTCAGGGACACTGGGGCAACCCGCTGTGTGTACAGCAATACAGTGTCAGAAACAAACTTCCTACAAGTGATGTTGTTATGGTTATACACAAAAGTACCCTTGATGTTAGGAGAAAGATGCTGTTTGCAACTGATCTTCAAATGATGCAGAAAATAAAACAATAATCAGGAGAAAGCACATTAACAGCAGAACACCCAAAGTACAGATGAAAAGGAGTTCCGCCTGGCCAAGGGCATAGGTGGCTAGCGTGCTGTCTCAACCTTTGTGGGAATTTTCCCAAGTACTAAGAGGTTAAAGAGCAAAACAAAAAACCATATGAGCAAAACAAAAATACAAAGTTGGCAAATAATGAAAAACTATATGAAGTCTTCATTAATAAAATTATATATTCCATAAACCCAATTTTCTAAACCAAGATAAATTCATTATGTTTTAATATTGAGGCATTACTTATTTATACTCTTAAAGAATAGCCCTAAACTTTACTTTTTTAATTAAAACTTTATTATGAAGAGCTTGCGAATAAATACATTAAATTAAGTGGACTTAACTACGCAATAAAATGTCCTGCTACAGAATTCCCTGTGGGTAAAAACCAAAAATTTCTCAAGATGGGATAGACAATAAGACTGCTGGAAAAGATGACAGAACGGAATTCAAGTCCACACAGATCAGAAGAAAAACACAAATGCCACCCCTTCAAGAACTAGGCTGCTGTGTGGAATCACAGGTGACTTCATGCTCCTCTCCAGAGCAGGGCATGGACAGCTGGACAGATGTGGCGGCTCCCATCCGGCCACACAGTGCAGCTCCCCCTCTCTACGGGGAAGTATGGAAACAGATAAAAACAACTGGAACTTGGCTACAGAAACATCACTGGAGGAATTCTAGGGAAGGGTGCTGTCAGGAGAGGGTGGGGCACGGTAAACACGACCCTTGGCAAGAGATAAAGTTCAGACTGCCTGAAGAACGGTCCATCCTGTGCTCACTCAGGTCCCTGCAGAATTTATGCCAAGGATGTGTAACTGGGTCACAACCCTACTTTGTTGCCACAGACCTGGATAAAACCCGGTGGCAGAGCTTCAGTGGAAAGGTGGAAGTTCAGCAAACACCCTCACCTGCTCAAAGGGCACTGCCAGTCTTTCCTGGCTGGCAGAGGTCTGGACAACTGTCCATTCATCCCACAGGTAACAAGAAATGCATAGGTCTTTACGAACTCATCTGAATATTAACTAGAAAGAATAATGCCATAACACAGGCTGATGATATACATTTACATATCGTCCCTTAAATTCACAAAAATATACCTTTTAAGAAAAACTTTCAAAGTCTATTTATTCCTTTGCCTCTATGTGTATGTCATGTGTATGCTTGTGCCTTTAAGAGGGTCAGAAGAGGGTATTGGATCCCCTGGAGTTGTAGTTACAGGTGGTTGGTGAGTTGCATGATGTGACTGCTGGGAACTGAACTCAGACCCTCTACAGATGGCAGAAAGCCATCCCAACCAATCATCTAAGTCTCCAGTTCCCACAAATTCCATTGTGGGGTCTGGGCTGCAAAAGCTGTCTGCTAGCATGCATTTCCACCATGATGTGTTCTTAGGGAAGAGATGGTGTTCTGTCCCATCAATAACCCCTAGCATGCAAAGAAAGAATGTTCAGTTAGTAAGGCATCTGTCTCCACAGTCCTTTCCTCCATTCTATGACTCCACGGATGTCAAGAACATACGTCAACACAAGCGTCATGCACCGCCGTGCCCTTGGGAATGCAGCATCTAAAATGTCTGGGCCATGGCTCAGCGGTGCGGTGCTTATCACAGAAGAGCAGGCTGCTCACGCTCACCTTGTCAATGGAAACCACCAGAATGGGCTCCACCTTCGCTTCAATCTCTTCTGGTCCGTAAAAACAGTGGAGTTTACCCCCTCTCAGAGCACAGTACAGCCTTCTCCAGCCAACCAGACCTTTTACTGTTTGCTGGAAATTAAAAAAAAGTCAAGAAACCATCAATCTAAGTCACTACCACCTCGACTCTAATCTCAGCTCGGTTTTTACATAATCAGTTAAGGCTTCAGAACTTTTAAAATGTGACGGAATTAGCCATTCATTGGCTTGACAGTAAGGCTGAGCACCCCAAATCCAAGAGTGGGGAAGTCTAGAATTCTCAGAAGCATTAGGCAAAATGAAGGTAATTATTACCACACAGTTTTACACACACAAAATCATAAATCAACACAGATTTGGGAAAGCTAGCCTATTAAAATCTAGTGCTTAGAATTACACAGCAATTCATCAAAGGGCCCGGGGAAATTATAAAAATAACTCTCTCTGTACTGAAAATAATTCCCCTTCACTTCTTTCAGAACACTAGAAAATGGTGACTACCTGCTAAGAATGCAAATTTTCTTTCCTCCTAATGGAATCTTTTAGAAAAAAAGAAGCTATTGATTCATCGAAGCCCACGATTAATTATTTACTGAATATAAATAACTCTGGCTATAAATAAATCAGGAGTAAGTGGTACAGAGGCAGCTCTGGAAGCCCAGAGGCCCAAACTGCGCCAAACGCAGGCTGCCAGAGGGGCCTTTATGGGAAAGGTGCTGGGCAGCCGGAGTAGGTTTCCACACGACAACCGTTGCCAGGGTCCTGTGCCTGTGGGAAGGGTGACCTGAGGGAATTGGAGAGGCAGCTCCTTAGTGAGCCAGACTCCAGGAGGCCCTCTTCGGCAGCCGCTCTTCCCACCCCACACCTTCCGCAGCTCATGTCCGGTAAACGGTACAAAGGCTAACATTTCCAGAAAGGCCGCTGGAGCAAGAGCCTGCGTAGTAGGTGTCTAATTAGCACTCCGCAGCTGAAGGACAGATGTGAGGTCCTCTACCTGCTCGTTAAGGAATCCCGCAAATGCATCTTCGGCCATACAAGCAGGCTGGGCCACTAACCGGCAGCACACGTTGCCATACAAGGGGAGCCAAAAGGAACAGTCCTCTGGTTAAGGAAGAGAGGGAGGGAAAAAAAACAAGTGATAAATATACATTTAAGATTGTTACACATTCCAGAGTTTTCCTTTCTATGTTTCTTTCCCTTTATACAATAACATTTTAAAAGTTTTACATCGTGGCTCATCTACCTGAATTCTGTACTACTAAAGGACACGGGAGCGTGTGGAGAAGCCGGGGCAGGCCCAGACCAACAGTGTGGCCAACTGGAGGAAAGGTGGCAGCATAGTGACCTTTCGTCTCCTGACCTCAGAAGTAATCATTCAAGGGAATTCTTCAGAGTTTAATAGAAAATAGTCTAATAAAAGTGACTTGTAGTCACCAAATTTCATTTCTTGCTCTAATTTTCACTATAATTAGCAAGGTGTGCCTGTAAGTGGAACATTATTTCACCCGAGTTAAAGACATTTAAACACTTCAGCCCAACTTCTTAGCCTTCCCCTATTGAACAAGTAATCACGAGCCATGAGAAGCGGCCTCCAGTGTGAGCCTGCGTGTGCGGGCAGGGAAGGAACTGTGAGGTCTGCGCCCAGTGATGGCACCAACAGGATGAAGAGGGACAGGATGAAGGGGAGGGAGGGGGAAGGAGGAAAGGAGGAGGAGGACTGGGGGAGAAGGAGGGGGAAGAGGAGTGAGAGGAGGGCCACCAGCATCAGACATCAAGAGTTTCAGCAAGCCGGTTAAGGGGAGTTCACACCAAGGCAGAGCTTAGCTACAGCTCTGTCTAGCCTAGAAAAAGCAGAAAGAGAGGTGTGCACATCCCTGAAGTGACGCCACGAAGGGTGGCCAGGTGTCAGGAGACACAACCAAGCCAAATAAAGAGTGACCATGTTCCACGGGCTACCCAGCCACGGGGAGCAGCGAGAAGACTCCGTGACGCAGTGGCTGACCAGCGTGGGAGCACTAAGCCTAAGGGAGGAGAAACCAAGGTTCCCCCATCAGGAATGGAGTGGCCTGGAAAGTGCACGGTGGGCTGGAATATTCCAGGATATTCCAGGGGGCAAGAAAGTGCTCCCAGAGAGGCCTTAAAACGATACGAAGCCTCTTGAATAGCTACGTCTGCAACAAATGCAACATCCAACTGAACAAGGACATCGGCACAATGCGATGCTCTGACTGACGGGAAAGGAACCAGCCCCCAACAGGCAGGGAGCAGAGCCAGAAAGACACACTCGAGTCACATAACGAGCCAACACCCAGCAAACACAAAGGAGGGCAATCCTACATCACCAGCGGTTCTCTCTGAAGATGCCAAGTTGGTGAGAGTCAAGAGGGAGGCTTAGGAACAGAGCAGAGGCCCTGCAGCCTTTGGACAGAACACCCCCAGAGCAGGGCAAGAGGCATGGAGTCTGCACACTAGAAAGGGCCTCGCGTGCTGAGGCGGCTGGTGGCGATGACACGGCCAAACGGCTCAACAGAATTTAATACATGCTACGATTCTTGGGGTTTGTAAAGCATGCGGTAAGCAACTTGGTATCATGTGTTTGTGTGCAGGGGGAAGATCGAATGAACCTGCAAGTTTCTTGTTCGTTTGAGATTATTTTTAAAAGTTCTTTCAGAAAGGGACAGAAACCTACAAGATGGCATTCCTTTGGTGCAGGACACAGTACAGCAGTAGGCATATCCCTTCTACCCATACGGAAGGAAAGCATGGGTAATTTACTCTGGGCATTGGGGTGTAAACATATATCCGGCACATGCTGTCACGTCAGGCTGTCTCACATCGACAAGGATTTTAGGATGCTCACTACACCCTGATAACTAGCTGTTGGCTGCAATCACTATTTACTTAGAGCCTTAGGAACCCTGAAAAAATACTGGTTTGGATAAAAATACAGTTACTTAGTGTTCTAGTTGGCTTTCTGTTGCTGTGATAAGCACCACGACCAAAAGCAATTCAGAGCAGAAAGGCTCGTTGCAGCTTACACTTCCCGGTGCTGGCCCATCGCTGAGGGAACTCAGAGCAGGAACCCGGAGGAATGCTGCTTACCAGCATGCTCTCTGGCTTCTGCTCAGCTCGGTTTCTTATACAGCCCGGATCTCTCTCTCTCTCTCTCTCTCTCTCTCTCTCTCTCTCTCTCTCTCTCTCTCTCTCTCACTTTCTAGGTCTGTAAAGAACCTAACCAGGACACTGGGCATATACTAAGATACATGGCAGCCGAAGTTTAGTAATCACTCAGGGGGAAAAACCAGCCTAAATAAAGAACAGAAACGAAAACTAAAATGGATTCAAAACTTGCCTATGCGTCAGCCTACTTTAGACTACCACCTTCCGGGACAAATCCAATCTTTTTATTAAGACCTCAGTAAAGGAGACCTGGGAGGATACACACACCTATACAAAGCACAGTGATTCCACAGTGCACACACAAAGAAACAAGTGGGAGTCACCTTTCCTAAAACAAGCAGTAAACAAAATAAATACTCAACACAGCCAAGTGTCTCAGGAACACATAAATTTTGTATATAGGAATTTCAAATTTATGAATGGCTGATGTTGTAAATATCTGTAAGTTGCTTACTTTTAAGTTAGAATGTAATTCCTCAAGACACAGAATCATAAATGATTAGGTTCTCAGACAAGTCCATAAAGTTTGTGCAATAAATAATATATTTGAACGTGACACACCACAACTAATCATGTTCATCTCATAAGATGAGTTCAGATTTCACACGAGGGAGGGAAAATCCTTCCTTCCTGCAGTATCCTTGAGGGGCGATGCCAGACACAGAATCCCTTCCTATAGCATCCTTGAGAAGGGATGCTGGGTGCAAAATCCCATCCTATAGCATCCTCGAGAGGGGTTGCTGGATGTAGAATCCCTGTCACATCCTGGAAAGGGGATGCAGATGTAGAATTCCTTCCTGCAACATCCTTGAGAGGAGATGCTGGATATAGTATCCCTTCCTGTCATATTCTGGAAATGGGATGCGGATGTAGAATCCCATCCTGTAGCATCCGAGGATGCAGATGTTTGGTCCCCAGCTCCACATACTCAACCATCACCTGCGATTTCTTACCAAGGCTTCGATAACTCCAGATTACTGAGGAACAGCAGAGTCACAGCTTCTCTGTGCCTCTTGCAAAGAAAAGGACCTCCGGGACACTCACTCAACATCTGAGCACTAATTCTACACTTAAAAACGCCACCTCTCTCAGGCAGAGTTGTCATGTGTGAAATACGTGCATGGCATCGACCATGAGCCTGGCACATGCCAACTGCCTCCGATTATATCCCAGGGCAGCCTCACTCCCGTAGTCCACTCTGTCCACGTGGCAAGGCTACTCTCAATCCTAGTGCCCAAAACATTTGTCAAAATACTTAATCATTCCTTTCTAGCCAAAGGGCACACGAGGACAGGATGGACAGGAAATGAAAGTGCCACCGACGGCTCATAAAAATGGCTTTCAAAAGTGAAGTCAAAACTGCCAGCCCCCAAGACATGAAAGTTGAGTAGTCCCTACGGACACACGGAACATGGGGTAAGACCAGGTCAAGAGACGAAGCCCAAAGTCTCCTGTGATATTTAAAAACAAACAGAATTATGTTCTACATCAAGAACACACCGATTACGGGAATGGAGTCCGACTATTCTAAAGCTTTTACACTGTCTGGGGAAAAGAGAAAACAGGCTCTTTCTGTTTACTTTGGTGATTACAAATTTAAGGGTAATTTCTACGATATTACAACATAATGTGTAATTTTACCAACAGAGGAAAATTTGAATGATAAAAGTAATTACCCCTTGTTTGAAGAGGCAGGCCTATAACACGAAAAAATGCATGTTTTGAAGTAAAAATAAAAACGCGGTTTAAAAATTATGTACAACAACAAAGGCTCAAATTAGACAAAGCAAAATCGAATAGCCAAGAAGACTGGAATGCAGAACTTGACTCGTCCATACCTCCTGCCACACAGACTATGCACACTCACCTTTAATAACAAATTATTAGCATGCTAGTAAATAAGGCAGATGGGGCTATTTCGAGAATGAGCATTAAAATAGAGAAGATAAAAAGACGTCAATACGAGAAATAGATTGGGGGCAGACAGAACTGCAGGAGCTGTGTGATATAAAGTATTGAAGGAGATTCCGTGCTCATAAAACTCATATCCAGGCCGAGTCCACAAGGACTTGTGAAAATACTTTCTGGAAATGACTCAAGACACAGGAAAGCAGAGCCTGCAGCTACCTGAAGACAACTCCGTTGTAGGGGCGTGGCAGCGCACAATATGGGGGAGCAAACGCCCACCACCAAGAGGACTTAACACCTCTGTCCACACACGGTCCAAATCCTAGCATCTGGGGAGGGACATACAGATGGCAGAGCCATGAAAGACCAGCAGGGAAGCAAACACAACCCATGTTGGGACTTCCACACCCATTGTTCCTAGGGGACGTGCTGCCAGTGAGGAGAGCTGTGTAGAGATTCCCCTTAAAAAGGTTAAATCACATGTTTCACAGCCCATCACCTTTCCCTCTATTTTTGGTAAATTTTATTACAACTTTGCAAAGTCACCATGAAATCACCCATCCCAGGAGCATCGGGGCCTCTGGCCTTTACAGCCAGAAAGCACGAAGTAGCCGTACACACGCTTCCATTCCCTTTCCCCTAGGAAATGGATGAGTGTGGAACTCAGCTCCTCGCCCAACACTGCTCTGTATTTCCCACCCCAGGTACAGCTGGCAATGCGCTCACAGACCTTCCCTACCGCCTGAGCTTCTTAGACACATTCCCATAAATTCCTTTCAGAAAAAAAAACCAAAACAATGAAATTAGCATTACTATCCAGGTGGGAGTTAAAATGAACAGAAGCCCGCTTCCTCCCTGCCCTCACTTTCTATCAGCAGAAGGCGTGGCTTGTCCTGATCGTTAACTTTAAACCCAGGCACATCCGACTGTCAGCCAGCAGAACCGAGAATCATCAACTCTGAGTCACAGAGAAAAGGGCACAGAACACTTCAATTTTTTCTATTGGGAGTCAGGGTTAGCCACAGCAGCAACAAGAACCCTTTATCTTTCTCCTCTGGGGAAGAGAGACACAGGGTGGAGAAAACCCAGACTCGTCCATGTGTACATTTGTAAAGCCAATATCCCCTCCAGGGGAGCGCGCTAAAATTAGGAGTCACCGTCACCACAGGCACACACCCAACACACGTGATTAAATCACACACAGAGTACTCACCATTGCCGTGAACAGATAGATTATGGGTCTTGAAGCAGTCTCCCACACTTTCCAAGGTCAGGGTGGCATGAGCTAGCAGATGGTACTTCGCACCCCTGAGAACGAGATAGAAGGCATCCTTAAGTATTCTTACGTGCTGTCTCTATGAGGCCAGCCATTCAAGTGTCCAGCAAAATGAAAACAACAAACAACCTGTTCTTAGAGAATAGGGCAAATGACTCGGACGACATTTCTCTAAACACACACAAGAGGCCCCAACCAATGGCAAAGCCATGTTGAACATTTCCCAGGGTCAAGCGACCACAGAAAGGTACCATCTAATGTTTACTGCTAGGCGAACTGACCACCATGAAAACAAATCTGGGGTTGTGGGTACGGAAGAGAGGAACACTGCCTGGGGCGAGGAGGATATAGAAGCTTGCACAACTGCCAAGCGGAGCAGAGGGCAGCAGCTGTTGAGAATAATAATACAGTGGTTCCTCCAAAAACTAGGAAAAAGAGACCATCCCAGGGAGATCCAGCAGTCTGGCTTCTGGACGCACACCCACACGGACAGAAAAGAAGGACGGGAATAAACACGTGAGCACTATGTTCACAGAGGCATTACTTTGTAAGACCTGAAAGGCTAAAAAACTTAAGTGTCTATCTAAAGTGCTGGCTTAGTGGCCGCACATGAATCTACTGGTATTTTAGTTATCATCTGCCACCCCATAGTCCCTCAGTCGGCACCCTGCTGGCTACTTAAACCGTGGACCTGGTGGGGGTCCCATGCCTCAGCTCTGCTCCGGTCACAATATATAGGTTTACGAAGTCTCTCGTTCTATTTATCAATAAGACGTGGGATTCAAAGGCTGGGGTGAAAATCTACGAGCTCAGAGGCTGAGTAGCAACTAGCTGGCCTTGCTTTTTGGCCACAACACACCATGAGACACATCTCTTGCCTCGTTCTAGAACCAAGAGAGCTCAAACTCTAGTCCCCACCCGTTCCTTCCTGTGCATCTTCTCTATCCAAATTGTTGGCTACTCTATGGTCAGTTTCCACCTAGGAATGGATAAAGGGCATCGACCTACCTATCAATCTACCAACCATCTATCCAAAGATTGTAAAGAATTATCCAACCTTCAAAAGAAAGCAAATTCTGACACATTTTACATACATACAACATGGATGACCTGTGAAAACATGATGCTAAGTGAACTATTTCTGTCACAGAAGGACACATCTCATACGACTTCACTTCATCCCAAGCATCAGAAGCAGTCAGATCCTTGGGTAGCAGAACAATGGCGGTGAGAGGCCGCGTAGGGAAAAGCAGGGGGCAGGGGTGTTAGTGCTGAAGGGGTACAGCATTTCAGCTCAGGAAGATGAAGAAGTAGTAGAGACAGTTGGTGGGGATGGTCACCCAGAATAGCAAAGTAAATCTACCTTATACCTCTCAACTGTGTTCTCAAAAACTGCTAAGACAGTCAATTTAAGTCACATACAATCTGACATAATATGAAAAAGCTCAGTTATACAAGACACACACGATGGTACACCCCATGTTCTCAGCATGTTGGACACAGAGCCAAAGACTGTGATCCTGAACTCCATGGTAGGGTCTCCCCATCCTCACATTTATATATCATGATGACAGATTTATATCCAATACACATTATTAATCAATTTAGCATCCTTATCACTTTATATTTTGGCAATTAGAAAAACCTGTAAGCTTTTTAATAACACAGATGTCTCAGTGAAGGGTCTCGTTTGCTCTAAGCACATTTACTCAATCCCTATAATGTGTTAGCTAAGTCTTGTGCTAGGTGATGGGCATTCAGTTGTCAGTAAGATCCAGTGTTATGTTCTGGGTGCAGGCAGGAGCGGAAAAAAGGGAACAGACAGCAACAAACACAAATAACATACCAGCAACTTCTAGCGGTGCTAAAACCTTTGCTATGACAGGAACAAAGGTGAGAAGTGCCATGCTAAGAAGGTAAAGTAGAGAAAGCGTCTCCGTGTCTCCGAGGAAGCAGCACTGATGCAGTCACAAAGAGGTCTCAGGGCTGGAGAGATGGCTCCGTAGGGAAATGACCTGATGTGCCAGCATCAGGACCCATGTGAAAATCAAGCAGCACATGTCTGTACAGTGGGATCACCCTTCTGTACGCTGCGAATAGATGTTGCTCTCATTGGCTGAGAATAAAAGCTGCTCGGACCTATGCCAAGGCAGAATATAGCTAGGCGGGAAAGCTAAACTGAATATAGGGAGAAAGAAGGACCGAGTGGGGCTGGGGGAAGGACACCAGCCAGGTGCCCAAGAAACAAGATGCCAGAAGACTGGTGACGCCACAGCCACGTGGCCATACACAGATGAGTAGAAATGGGTTAATTTAAGTGTAAGAGCTAGTTAGTAATATGCCTAAACTATAGGCCAAATATTTTCTAATTAATATTAAGCCTCTGAGCGATTATTTCGAAGCAGCAGTGGGACCAGGAGAGAGAGAGAGAGAGGAACCCCCGTTTATACCTCTGCACTCTCTGCACTGAGTGGGAGAGAAGGGTGGATCCCTGGAGGTTACTGGCCAGTAATGCTACCTGAATGGGGAGCCACCGCGATGGGTGAGCTCCAGGTTGAGTGACAGACCCCAAAATGAGGTGAAGAGTGATCCAGAGACACCCAGTATTCACCTTTGGCTGTGAGAAATGCACGGAACGCATGCATGCATACATATTCCAGACCTGGATGAGCAAATGATTCCAGAAACTGAGGAGACATGGCCTGCACAGGGAGAGCTGGGAAAGCAACTTCAACGCCAAAAGGAAAGCAGAAGTGTGGCTGGTACCCATGGGGGCAGGCTGAGGCTGGACATGCAGGCAGAGGTCAGAAGGCACTGGGCTTCGTGAGGCCTAGAAGGAGGGTGGGCTTCGTGAGGCCTATGAGGAAGGGGAAATCACTGCAAGTTGAGAGGTGGATAATGAAACCTAGAACTAACTGGACTTTCCAGGACAAAGACCCTCTTTAACCAAACCCTAGCCAGGCTTCTTTGGAGCCTTCTGTTGAACTGGGTCTCAACCTGGGCCTACATAGGCTGCGCGAAGAACTGCACACTGGTCCCAGCCCACCTCTACAGACGGGTGGGTCCCTGTCTCCCAGTCTGTTTGGACAGCCTCACTTGCTGATGTCCCAGCTGGTAAAACCAGGTAAGCTGCACCCAGACCCACTCAGGACTCCCCTTGGGGCTGTGTGGCATTTCCATGTCCACGACTCTGAGCCCTAGCTCGTCACCCCCCGCCCCTTCCTTCCCCCCCCCCCCCCGTTCAAACCCCTCAATATAAATTAGAGTGGAGAACCATTCTTGCTGGCTTCTGCTCCCTGAGCAAGAGTAAACTGTTAGCACCTGCCTTGACCACTTTATTTCCTGCCAGCTTTGTCTGACAAACGCAATCTCCTTCCTTCCGGCTGTGGACTAGAAAGGTCTGGCGTTTCTACCTGCAGCGTGGGGAGCAGAGGCTGTCCGGTCTCACAACTAGCACACTTGCCGGAATTCTTAGACAATATGGCGATGAAGTTAGTAAATGGTTATAGAAACTGAATTTGGGACTGGGGTAGTGTGGCTCAGTGGTAAAGTTGTTTGCCGAGTGTATTCAATGCCCGGAACAGGACCAAAAGAAAAAAGAAAATTCACATAAATAACAACTGTATTTTCTATGCCAGTAACCTCAGTCTTATGAGTTTTCATGGTTTTATTATTTTTCTCTCCAAGTGCTGAGGAGTATGTTAAGGGTACATGTGTGCACACAAACCCCGGATAACCCGGGGAAAAGACAGGTCTGATGGGAATCTTTCACTGTGTCAGGTGACGTTTCACAAACTTAGCTCCCACTAAATCTTTGATGGGATCTCTATAATAATAATATGCACACGTTTAGCAAGCACATAGCATTCTTTACTGGAATCTCTGCAATAAAAAAATGTGCACACAGCAAGCGTACAGGGATGCATGCACGTCCTCTAAAACAAAAGGATGTTCCATAGAAGGTTTTCCAACAAAATCTCTTTTTTAAAAAAATTATGTTTTACATTTTGTGTGTGTGAGTGTTTTGCCTGCATGTATGTCTGTGCACCACGTGCATGCCTGGTGCCCACAGAGGCCAGAAGGGGGCATCAGATCTCCTGGAGCTAGGGTTGCAGATGGCTGTGAACTGCCTCGTGGGTGGTTAGGCATTGAACCAGGGTCCTCTGCAAGAGCAGCCAGTGCTCTGAACCGCTGAGCCTTTGCTCCAGCCCCTCCCTCGGCTTTTCATTTTGTATAATCCTTACGGACCGACCAGACTAATTTTTAGCACACAGTGTTTCAGGTTAAACTTTATGTAGGAAAACTTGTTATTTTTATTTCCATATTTCAACCTGACAACGTCATCAGCGTGAGGCCTGAGTACAGTTCTAGAGGGTCTGAACAGGACATCAGATTTACACACTTAGGTCACTGCGAATCATATCACCACTACTGAAGCCACTAACCTCATGCTCTGTGTGAGTCAGTCTGCTAGCACTGCCTGTTCCATGTGGGCTAGCCTCTGCTAGCACTGCCTGCTCCATGTGGGCTAGCCTCTGCTAGCACTGCCTGCTCCATGTGGGCTAGCCTCTGCTAGCACTGCCTCGCACTACGCACGTTTCCACGGAGCCTTTCATAATTAGCTTTCATTTTCCCCTAGCATCTACGTAAGTTCCCCCTACTCCTGCAAAATTAAGGAAGCACAGGAGACAACTGGAGAATGAACCCAAGGAACCAAAGACCACAAGCACAAGGAGCGCGCTAACAGCACACAAGGCTGCCTGCTAATACGTCGCCAGCTGTGTGGTAACAAGGTGTGATATATGACGTGCGCTCCCGAGATGCTCATTTGTTTTATGGAAGTACATTGTTGAATACTGTAAGCGCTTTAAATTGATAAAGCAGTATCATTTTCCTTGCGAGAAAGAAAAAGAAATAGACTGCCTATCGGTGATTGAAGGCAGAACGTGCTGTCTTTGGGAGAAAGATCGCTGACAATGAAGTAGAGTTGTCTGCGTCTGTCACGGTGGCTGCAACAGTCAGCAAGGAAGAG